GTGTACATCTCGTCTCTTCGTGAATCTTCTAGATACTCATTAGTTGTTATTAGCATCACGTGACTTCCGCTGTCATAACAATATTATGCAAATATCTTTATTTTATTCTTTTCTTTATTTTAAAACAAATATTTAAGCATTTTTCGATGAACAGAATTTAACATAACGTCATTTTATGCAAAATCTTCTTGTGTGTTCAGCACCAAAAATTCTTTTTCTGTGGGTGCTTGCACACCCATGCACTTGCGGAGTTGGTGCCTGTGCTAATGTGCTGTTACTCTCAAATCAAAGTTCTCCCCAATACTGAATAAAGCACTATTGGAAGTTTCTTGGTTCCCACATACTAAACCATTGCAGATGAAATAGGTTACACCATTGGTGAAGCTGCTCTTCTGGGTGGTATTGGCACAGACTATGGTAATCTCGTCACAAAAGCACCTTTCTTCCACTTCAGCATCTTGACTTATTGTGCTATTTTTTACAGCTAGATACTCATCACGTGGTATTAGCGTCACGTTAGTCATCCTCCCACTCAGTAGATTAGTGAAATGTCTTTTTGGTTTTCCAGTCTATCGTCTTGCCAAAGTTGGACCTATATTTTATTTCTGTGTTACTTACTTTTCTGAATTTTCTCTTCAAAGATAGCACAAAAATCTTATCTTCCTCTATAACTGTTGAAGAATAGGTATTTTGGTTTAGAAGAAGAGGTGCACAGATCACTTGTAAACAGAACCACATGTTTCCAACTTCCAACACAACTCCGGCTATCCATAGGAGTTCCATAATCAAACTACTATTCAATTATTTCAGTTTCTCTTCTTTCTCTTAAATCTTGAATGATGATATAATCTGGAAAATATAGACTGGGAGAAGATGACACATGTCCACTGACATGGGAACTGAAAGGTTATAAGGTTTGTCAACAAACTGCAGGGTTAAAAATATGTTCATTATGTCCTCCAGCTCCAGTGTTGATATCCAAGACTAGAATGTCGTTCATAAGGAAATATAACACAAGTATGACCATCACCTCACCTGACATAGATCAAAAACAATATTGGCCTAGATATCGTACAAGTCCAAGCTTCAGTATAGGGCAAAGACTGGTGACATTCAAAATCAGTCACATTCCAGTACTTCTTCTGAATTACCATAGAATGAATAAGATCTGCCATTCATATTAATAGTATATGGAGCTTAGGTATAATCATGCGATTATTATAAAATCCAGGTATTTCAAAATTTGTAGTACACACTGAAGGGATTTACACATTTTGTTAAAAGTTTAGAAACAACTACCTTTACACTTCAGATATATATACATTTTTGTTTTTTATTTTAACCAACGTTTCGTCTTTGCGGCTTCCTCGGGGTTAATATACACAACTGTTTGATACTAAAGTTTTGTATATTAACCCCGAAAAAGCCACAAAGGCGAAACGTTGATTAAAATTTTTAAAAATTCATATATATATCTGGAGTATAAAGGGCGTTTTTTCAATACTGATAACCAAAATCCAAGTATTACTGATAGTAAAGGATCGAGTGTTATAGAAGCACAGCCATTTACGTTCAAACTTACTTTTCGGGTGAACGAAACGTAATTATATATAAGTTCATTGTCGGGTTTATAGGAAGTGATTGTTATACTTGGTTTGAGATTCTAATTAAATTTTCAGGTTCTTTGTAATGACCTGGTCTGATATAACTGATTATGGAAGCAAAGTGAAAATCAGAAAAGTATGATAACCAATCTGTACCGTCAGGCACGTTATGCCAGCTATGTGGATACTGTAATTCGACCAACACCACTTCTTACGAACCTTCAAGGTTGATAGGTCACGGAAGACGAGTGATATAGATTGTCAAAGTATTGTTGGCAAAATAATTCATAGAACTGCCACTAGATAACGCCACTTACAACTGACCCATGATGAATAACGAGAAATTGTTATGCTTATCATTTATGAGGGCAGGTGATTCAGATATGTTTGAATTTATCAGAATATCCTTTCCATTTTACGAAATGCTGTTTGTTTTTACCCCTTCCTCGTACACATAATATTTATTCTACAGTGTAGACGTTACTGGGGGACTTTATAACTCTTCACACTTCAGATTCATAAAATGTTCCATTTAATTTTCTCCGAGATAGTCTTGCAGTGTATACACTGGTGGATTTCGCACTGTTCTCTCGTAAATCGCAAATATTTCGTCTGTCCATCTAGGCATATAACATTTCTTAAATTTACGCTTCACTTTACTAATACCTACTTGATCGCCTACATTGAACTGAAATTTTACTTTAGTGTGTGGTTTGTAAAATATTTTCCACACCACAGACTGATTACAGTGATTAGCATCTACTGGTCTCATTTCAATGCTGTGATGATACGACTGATTATAGGCACTGACCAGATGTTTCAATACAGTGATATATCTATAAGTTCCACAGTGAGTTTGTTTGTTTGTTATGAATTTCGCGCAAAGCTACATGAGGGCTATCTGCGTTAGCCGTCCCGAATTTAGCAGTGTAAGACAAGAGGGAAGGCAGCTAGTTATCACCACCCACCGCCAACGCTTGGGCTACTCTTTTTACCAACGAATAGTGGGATTGACCATCACATTATAACGCCTCCACGGCTGAAAGGGCGAGCATGTTTGGTGTGACGGGGATTCGAACCCGCGACCCGCAGATTGCGAGTCGAGCGCCCTAACCACCTGGCTTCACAATGAGTAAAGTAGCGCCATACCATAGTTTTAAGTGTGTGATTAAATCTTTCTACTATAGACACTTTTGTTTCTTTATGTGTAGTGAAGAAGTGAATGCCTTGTTCTTTGAGATATCGTTGAAAGAGACGATTAGTAGACTCTGTCCCAGCGTCGGTTTCAAGTTTACAAAGTTTTCGACCCTGTTTTAAAATCAGTTTGAAAATTTTTACAAGGGTTGTACCTTTCTTATCCTTGAGTGGAACAACCCAGGTGTATTTAAAAACAACACGTCGATACACGTGAGTAAATACTTAAACTGATTGTTATGTTGACTTAGGTTAGAGAGATCCACCAAATTAGCCTGTCATTGTACATCAATCCCTGAAATGATAACTCGGTTTCTCAAGAATTTATATTTTACTGGTTTGTGTAGAGTGTATGTAACTTGACGGTTAACCAGTTTTTAACATGTTTTATAATGCCGGATTTACCTAACACATTCACATATTTAAGTAAAGGCTGTACTCTGTCAAAACTAACAGGATGTATGGGGTTATAACAGATAGATTGTATAGTTTTTTATACATTATTTTCTACGCCATTTACTTTTATTTAGTTCACCATCAACTCTGTATCTAACAGTAATAATAATTTGACCTTTACAACAGGCAATGTTAATTCTTTAAAAAAATTAAAATCATGGACCAAACAGTAGTTTACCTTATGAAATACAGTTTCCTGGCCAGTCTCAAAATAAATATATATGTATATATATATGTGTATATTAGATGATTCATAGACGTCTTTATCCTGGATAAAATATAAATAGTTATTTAAAACAAATGAATTACATACTACGCATCTTATTTCACCACATCATTGAAAATCTGGTTTATGTTTTTTCTGTCAATAATGATAAAATATGTTTTACATTGGTAAAAATTATCACATGAAAATATCGCTTGTTTTTCATTCTTTGTTTTGTGTATATTGTAACAGTCTGCCAATTTACAAAATCAGTTACAGTCAGCACAAACTATAGGTTGACCTTTCGAACATTTATTACTGTAATAAATGTTACAATAACCTGAACAATGATGTTCATTTCAACGTTCCAATGCCATGGCACTATCTGAACAAGAATAATTTACCCCAAGGAAACTCTTCATTGACCTGATAACGTCAAGATGATGATCATGGTACCATAGGAAAATCTTCTCAGGTCATGAAGGACCTTTATAAATAACATGGTTTAAATTATCTGAAGAAACAATGTGAATTTGAGCATTTAAATGACGTTCACATTTTGAAATTTCTTCTATTCAACAAGGTCCTTCGGGAATATTAGACGAAGTGTGTAAATATTTAGTCATGCATGTAAGTAGTGGTCTTCACTGGCCTCTAATGTACTTATATTTGGAATCTTTTCTGATTAATGTTAAAGCTATTACTATAGCCTTAGCACAGCAAAGGTCATCATTATTCTTTATGGAAATAACTGATCGTATTTTAAGACGATCAAGACTGATATTTGATATCTTATAATTACTGCCGCCACTGTCTATTGGTAATTCAATGTAGTAACTTTCCTTTTATTTCCTTTTTACTTTGATTGACTTTTTCTATGTTAGTTAAGATCATTTCGGATAAAACAGTCCCTTATTTTGTAAACATGTACTTATCTATTTATCCAAATGATTTGAATAAACGCAAACTCTAACTTTATCTCAGTTGATTAAGTTATTGGTTGTCTCATCCAATAAGTTCTAAATATTCTTATTATGAGTGTTCATATGTTATTAAGTCCGTATGATTTAGGATTAAATGATATTTTGTACATTGTAGCAGTTGCATTATACTTTTTTAACTCTCTTAAGCTCTGATAGTGTACATAAGGTAGTTTTAGAAAATAAGAAAATAGGATTTCTGATGTGTCAACAAACATATACATTTGAAAGCGTTATGTTTGGTACATATCATTATAAACTAGAAATATATATATAAGCCTGCCGGGGGGGGGGGGGGTGTTGTTACAAAACTTTCAATTTCCAGACAAGATTTTAGAGGGGACTGGCCACTTGACGGTCTTTGTATTTCCTAACAATCAAACTTTATGGAGCTCTGCAGCGATCTTGAATACCAGATAGACGAGTGCGTAACGTCAGTTATCTCTCAACGTCTATTGAAGATGAAAACACCGTATTTGACGGCATATAGGACGCACTTATTTCCCAAAATTTTAGCTCAAAAAATCGCCCTGCGTCTAATATGCGAAGTTGAGATCTTCCGCAGGCTAATCTTCTTCCTAACGCTCACTATCCTAGCATTCGATGAGTACAGCATTCCAACTACGAAATAAGAAATAGAAAATTTGCATAGGCCAGACGCAGTCGAATTTTCAGCATCCTGTTAAAGGATGGAAGGTCTATCTCTTAAAAGTGCGAACGCTTGTCCCTTCAGAAACAAGGTTTTGTAACGTCGTTTTATCTTTACTGTGAAACTTGATATAGCGACCAACTTGTGTCAACAACTCGAAAAATGCACGGCCAATCAGTGAGCGAAGATAGAGATAGAGGCAAATTACAAGCAAACAATAGGGAATGCTACCGCGTGCTCCCTCTATCTGTCAGAGGGTCTAAAACGGTCTCAATAAAAACCACTGGCCATGAAAAGACCCACTATACAGCAGTT